GGCTTTGCACCCCCAGACAATGAAACTGCATCTTGCAAGGGTTTGCTTTCCCCCAGCTAGAGGTCACTGCTCAGAGCTCTTTTCCTGGACTGTCGAACGGAAGGGGACAGCAGAGGACACAGAGAGGAGCTGCCCCACTCACGAGATCCCTGAAATCATTTTTTTTAAGCCTAATAAGGACATATACACACCTCCCAGGGCCGGCATTGCCATGACAACAGCTGAGGTCCAGGGTGAGCAGGTTAGTGGAGCAGCATGCTTTCTAAGTCTCCCCAAAGGCGGGGCTGCACTCACTCATGACATAAAAGATGTTGACAGCGCTCCTAAATGGACTCCAAAAAAACTTACAGGACGTGGTTTCTTCGGGGGACTGATTAGAGATGGGAGGCTTTCTTGAAGACTTGGCCTGGTCAGAAAGGCAAAAATCTACAAAATGAATAAGCGCTTGGATCCCCTTGTAAAACTAGGACACACAACCGTGTCCATTTCCCACAGGGTAAAGAGATGTGACAAACCAGGACAAAAGCAATCCTACAAGGAAATAGAGAGACAGGCACTTAAATAAAACCCCAGCAGCACAGCCCCGCTGAAGAGAAACCCGGGTCTACATTTTGAAGGTAAAGAAAGGATAGATTCATCTCTTTTATGGGAAATCATAAAAATCATTAAAAATCGTTTTTTTTTTTTTTTACTAAATGTTTTTCTTTGGACTCTTCACTATGTGAGTACTCTGTCACTCAATTCACTACGGACTACGGACTCTCACTGTGTACTACGGGACTTAATTCTTCTAATGACGTCATAAGGAAGTCAAGACTCTCATGTCCATTTTTCCGAGAAAGAAACTGAGAGGCCCCGGGGACATACAACAACCATTGGCACGGCAAAAAAAAAAAAAAATCCAAGGAAGGTTGCTCTGAGGCCAGAGCTTCAGTGTTTAGCCATTATGTCTCTGGTCTGGGAAAGGCCCTGGCTTCCCACAAGAATCATAAACAGATGGCTTCCTCACAGTTTCCGAGCCTCTAAACATACAGGCCCCATCAGGAATATTTACGCCAACCCAATTTATTTTTGCTGTTATTGATTTGTGATTTCAGCACTGGGGATGGAGCCCAGGGCGTGCCACGTGACAGGTAAGTGCCCTAGCACAGAGTGACATTCTAGAGTTCTTTCCACTTTTTCTGTTGAGACTGTCTCTCTAAGTTGTCCATGTTGGCCTTGAACTTGCAGCCCCCTGCTGGCAGCCCCCTGAGTAAGCGAGGTTACAGACCTGAATCACCAAACCCACTTCTAGCCCAGTTCCTAAATTTTAGGGTGCTCTGAGAACACACGGAGAGTTCTTCTGAACACTCTGAGTTTCTAACAAGTCCATAGGTGTTGGTACTCTCTCTCCCAGGAACTACACTTTGAGTAGTCTAGTACCCCGAATCCTCTAGCTAAGCCTCAGGGCCTTAGAGCCTATCTCGCCCAATTAATCTTTCACTGTTTAGTCCCAGGCCCCCAGGGCCTTGCTTCACATGCTCTGATGTTATCTTTGGCAGTGCTGTGTGCCTTGGCATTCCCTGAGCTCTTTTGATAGAGAGAACAGTTATTACTCCCTGTTACCCATGGGGGATTGGACTCCAGGACCACCACAGACACCCAGCTCAGTTGATGTTCAAGTCACAGACAAAATGGTGTAGTGGCTGCCTGTAACGTCCCAGTCCCCCTGTAGTCCTCTCTGCAGATGACTGGCAATGTCTAGTACAGTGAAAATGCTCTCTATGTTTTTACCTCTCACTATTTAGAAAAGAGTGGCGAGGAAAGAAAAGCCTGTCCGTGCCAGATGCAGATGCATCTTCACCACATATTTTCCACGTGCGCTCTGCTGACTCCGTGGACGCGGCACTTGCAGGTTCAGTTGGACTTCCCACTCTAAAATACAATTTACTGTTGCTTCAGTGGGTAGGGTTGCCTTTTTTCTTATTGTCGTTTTGTTTGGAATGGATTTTCTTTTTCAGAGAAAGAGTCTCCCATGCAGGTTATGTTGGCCTCAGCTTGAGATCCTGCTACTACCTCTGCCTCCCTTGTGCTGATGTGTACACTGTCACATCCACTTGCACACATCTGGTAGCTCCTGAGACTCTATGAACTGGACAAAGAGGAGCCTTGAAGAACAGATAGGTAAGGGCAGCCCGACCCGCTGCAGACAGCCAAACCAGTTTCCTGCCAGGCAGGGATCTCCTCTGGGAATTAATCCCAAGAGAATATTCATTAAGTCTTTTTCAGGGCTGTCGCCCAAGCAAAGTTCAAAAGTTGTCCCACCTTTCCGTGTCTGGCCCTTTAACGTCCCCCTCTCTAAAACACATTCTGCCACCCTCGCAGGGGCTGTAACTGTACTTTGTGCGTTCACTGGTGAGCTAATTTTTTCTGTGCTCAGTCTCGTGGGAAGCTGGAGGGAAATATGGAGGTCTGCTTACGCAAAAGGCAAGGCTGAAGTACATGGGCCGGTAATCAGAATTAACCAATTTAATGCCTGACTTGTTTATCCTACAGAAAACATCACCTACAATGCCTCCATCGATCCCCTCAGAATACAGCTTCTTTATCTAGGCTTCTGCGGACTGTGAAATTAAACGAACAGCTTACCAACAAAGCAGAAGAACTCCAAGAAGCACACACATGAATAAGGAGCAGGGCTCAGCAGGGCCAGGCTCCTTTATGTATATGGTCATAGCCACTGCCCGTGTCGGCATAAAAAGCACAAGAAGAGCCCTGACCTAAGTGTAAGGGGCCACAGCACAAGAAACAAACCTTCCAGAAGCAACTACACCGTCACCATGAAGCACTAAGAATGATACGACCAGCGAAAAGCAGGATTTGTTTGGGACTGAAAATCAAGTTTGGAGTAGCATTTTCCTTTTCTTCAGGGAGCAACGAATAAGCCCTCCTCACCACATGCCCGCGAGGGTAGCAGTGGGTGACTGGACAATGTCGATGTGTGAATGACCCAGGTAACCGCAAAGGACCCAAATCTGGGCCTACACATGGAAGCCACTGAATCAGGAGGCTATAAATCAAGGCCAGATAGCAGATTGCATGCCACTGAAGTACTTTCCCCAAAAGGGGTAAACTGACTACTATGCATTGATGCTGCCTGCCAACCGCTGTGCTCAGCCGTTCTTTCTCCTTTCGCTCTCATGACAAGTCGACACAAAGGTGTTGTTATACTCAGCTTACAGAGAGAACGATTTGAAAGACACAAGTTCAGGAACTTTGTCTCTGTGCACTCAATAGTCTCGGCCTAGGAATGCAGCTCACCTCTCACTCTAAATCACAATCTTGATCTTTGCACCATTTCTCTCCAAACAACAAAAAAACATATTTTGAGTTCTAATGCCTAAAAGTACAAAGGACAGGGCAGGAGGCAGAAGAGAACCCTTTTAAATTTGTGTAATTGTTGGGGGGGGGAGGCACTTTGAAAAGCATGGTTAGGTCACCACGGAGTAATTGGAAAATGTAAGCCCTACCCAGTTCACGAGGGCTATGAGTCATCTGTCAGCAGCCAGCAAGGAAGGAGAGCAATGGAAATTTATCATCCATCTCCATCAAAGACATGGGTCATGGGCAGTTGGGCTAGATGACCTCCAGGTTCCAGCCCTTCTGAAGAAGCTATTGGCAATGGACAGATGATGGGGGAGAGAGATCCCCCCACCCCGAGGATGTGGCAACTGGTAGGTTTCTAGTTCTCCAGTGCCTGGCCCCACACCCATGCACATGGGCAACACAAACTGGACTTAGTGGGCTACCAAAATAAATGACACGAAGTTAGGAGGGGATATGTTGGGGGATATAAAGAAAGTTGGAAGGGGGTAAATGGGGATTAGATACAATCATATTTCATTGTATTCATGTATGAAATGCTCAAAAATAAAAAATATTAAAGAAAAAAAAGAACTTGGATGCATTCTCCTTGCTAACTAACAGTAAATTTGTGTGTGTGTGGGTGTGTGTGGGGGGGTGTGTGTTTGCATTAGGGACATATATTCCTAACATCCTTTTGAATCTGGAGGAGAAACCTGGGTCAGAAACTTGAAATAACCCATAAATATTCCCATTTCACATGTAACTCGAAACTTACACCAACCAATGCCATTCATGAGAAGATATATTTAAAGCTAGCTCCTAGCTCACAAAATTAACCTATAATGTCTTCATGACAACAAGACTAGGACTAAAGGTAGGGAGGGTGACCAGGCATGACTTCATGTATGACTTCGAGTAGCTCTGACGTGCCTAGGTGTCTCCTCCTACAGCATTTAGTATTCGGAGAACACACTCCTTCCTCATTTCTTCATTCGAACGGGGTTTGCAGATCTGTCCAATGAAATCTTACATGTTTTTATCCTTGCCATCTGATAATATTAACTGTCTGATAAATTGCTTCAACTTGTGCATTTTTGACAAATCTTACTCTTTAGTTGACTTGTGAAACACTCATAAATAGCAAATGCTGCTTGATTAGAATAAACGAAAAATCCTTAGAGTTGCCGGCAAAAATTGGCCCTTAGCTGCTCACGCTATTTAGGCTAATCATTTGAAAGGCATCAGGTCATTTTTAGAAAGAAGTCCTCACGTATACCTTCTTACGTCATCTGTTATGTATGAGTGCATGTACGTATTTTAATCTGGGCGGATTGTTACAAGGCACCATGCTTTGCAGCCGTGTTACATATGCCTGAATACCCTTGTTTGACCCCTATCTCTTGTTACTCAGAAGCTGTGTGACTGTGGGTTCGTTCCTGAACTTCTGCTTTTCAGTCTTTAAAATGAAAATAGGTGTAATAGGCTCTTGGTTATCTATTTTCAACTCTCGAAGAACTCCAAGCAGAAAATCAAAACATCTTTGTATAGACAGATATAGTGTTTGTATGGAAGAAAAGGAGCCGTCTCTTACAAAACCGGGGTATTTGACCCATTTCCAGAACCCGAGCCAGAGGAGAGAGATCCTGAGTCTTTACCTGGTGTCGCACTGGATACTGTTGGCCACTGCTGATCAGGCCCTCCTGGACCAGCCCGAAGAATGCCCGCCTCCTCCAGGTGCACGGAGCTGAGAAAACATAGAGACCCAGATAACAGTTAGACCATGACTGCTTTTCCAACTCCCCTCCCACCCTCAAACATTGTCTCCACTACGAAGGGAGGGCTGCAGCTAACACTCCGTGCTCAGGCTTCAACTGCAGCCATTACTGCTGAGCAGTCACCTTGCAAAACTGCGGTACCATTGCTGACATGCCGCCTGCTGCGCCACAGTGATAATAACGTGTTCTGTCTTGATGGCAGTTTCGGTTTTCATTAATGCCTTGTGGTGTCCACTAAATCTAACAAAAGACCCACAAGAGGATAAAGGCCATTTCTGCCCCTCAGTGTTGATGAGGGAAGCTGGTTCTCCAAACTCCCAACCCTCGCTCAGGTTAAACACACTAATATCGTCAGCAGTAATAAAAATGGCTACCCAACTCATTCCTGGGAGGGTGGGTGGGCATGCTTGAGAATTGAACTCTGGGCTTCATACATGCTTGCCAAGGTCTCTATCACTGAGCTACATTCCCATCCCTTCATAATTTAAAGACAACATGTCATTGAGAGGACTGGCTTTGAAGTTGTTGTTTTTCTCTAGAGACCTCCCAAGTCTATAGTTATAGGCAAATGCTACCATACCCAGACCAACTAACTATTTTGTTAGTTTTTCCGAAAGAAAAGTTTATTTGATTAACTACAAGAAACAGTAGAATGGGCAGACGGTAATAAAAGTATCGCCTGCTGATGTGGGATTCCCCTCTGTATGCTGTAAATATCATTGGTTAATAAAGGAACTGCTATTGGGCTATAGCAGAGCTATAGGGGAACAGAGCTAGGTGTCTGGGGAAGACTAAACAAAATGCTGGGAGAAAGGAGGTGGAGTCATAGAGAAGCCATGTAGCCCTAATGGAGACAGACACCAGAACTTTAGCAGGTAAACCACAGCCACGTGGCAATACAGATATTAATAGAAATGGGTTAAATAAATATGTAAGAGTTAGCTAATACGAAGCTAGAGCTAATGGGCCAAGTAGTGATTTAATTAATACAGTTTCTGTTTGGTTCTGGGCGGCTGGGATGAACAAGAGGCCTCCTTACTACAGCCTGCCACCAGCCCTGATTAATTGTTAGCATTACTTTGATTTATTTTTCTGTATTGTTTTACAAATAGGTGACCTACCCAACATATCCTAAGACCAGATAAACCCAGTGGTTCATAGATCCACATTCAGAAGAGATTAATTCAGCATAAAACACTGCTGGGACACAACCTGAGAGACTCTTAGAGGCTAGCAGAGAGAAAATAAGCTATCCAAGGGCAGGAAGAATACTATATCTATCGATATTTGTCTACAGTTAGTTCGTATAAGAGCTTCAAATGTATCCAGACAGAGGAAGAAGGAAAAGAAGCTCCCAACCCAGTAGCTGGGGAAATCCCCCAAGTTGGAGGACACTTTTAAATTAGATCTTTGTTTATCCTCAAGTTAAATTACTAAAACCTCAACCAGGTGGTGGTGGTGCAGAGGCAGGTGGATCTCTGTGAGTTCAAGGCCAACCTGGTCTACAAGAGCTAGTTCCAGGACAGGTTCCAAAGCTACAGAGAAACCTGTCTCAAAAAACAAAACAAAAAAAATTACTAAAACCTCAGTGACTGAAGGAGTCCCATGAGACAGTGGATCATAAGTAGAAGAGAAAGGGGATCTATGCATCCAGCAGTCCCTTGCTCTTTCACAACAAACACGCTGGGAAGAAATCCTCTGACTGAGCTGTGACTTAACACTGTTATCCTTCAGTTCCAACCTGGAATTTTCCAAGTTTTTTTTTTTTTGCAAGTATTTATGTCCTTTGGGAGCTTTTTGATCTACCAACAAATTATATGGATATAAAAACATAACTTCCCTGCAACCAGTTTAGCTCAAAGCAGATTTTAAAAAGAAACTGAGTGACATCTGCCCGAGGTTAGACAGGCCAAGCAGCCAGTGCGCTGTGAAGAGGGGGCATTCTTTCCTTTCTCAGTTTTAATATATGCTCAGTGCACTGCACTGTGAAAAAGACACAATGTTTTAGTTTCAAATTGTATTTCCTTCCTTACCCACTTAAATGCCCCCTCCAACCCCTCTTTTTGAGACAGGGTGTAACAGCCCTAGCTGTCTTAGAACTAGCTCTGTAAATCAGTCTGGCCTCATACTCACAGATCTCTGCCTGCCTCTGCCTCCCAGAACAATAAAGTGGTAATTCCTTTAATATTTTATTTTAAACCATTTTGAAAAAGTTGCACCTCACAGCTTTGGTACCTTTCAAGCAAAACTTCCATTCAATTGCAATGACAAAAGCTGACACTGTAAAAGGAGCTCAGTTTACCTAGTGCCCAGCTCCACAAACATCTCAGCTGCACACAAAAGCACAGCTCGTCTCTAATAAGTAAAAAGAATTCCTCTGATGCCTCACAGAACAGCATCTGCATGAGTGCTTCTAGCTTAAAATCATGACCCTGGTTCCAGCATGACATCTCAACCAGCCAGTTCCAATCTTCAGTCCTTCCCTGATTGCTCCTGCTTCAGAAATAGCACCCACATAATGATCTCTGATCATTTGTAAGCTTGAGAAGGCATTAATTTATTTTAATCTAATGCATGCTTAATGAGCTAAAATTATATTTTCATTAATTCTACACATACTACTCTACAGCTTTCTCTCTAGACACTGGCCTAGGTTTGATGAAGACTCAATAATTGCCCAGATATTCTGAGGGGCTTAAAGTCTGCAGTTCATTTCTTCTTCAAAGTTAAATCCTTTTGCTAATACAATCATTAGTTTCTTGAGCCTCCCTATCTGGTTTCCAAAGACAGTCACAAATAATGAATCTTTCATTTGGCCCCATGGCATTGACACATCAGCTCTGGGAATCAGTTACTGTCAAAGAGACAAAGTAGACAAGACAAAACTATATTAAATCCGAGTCTTGAGTAATGTTATTACTCTAAGTTGATCTAAAGCAAGCTAGATTTGGTCTCCAGATATTCAATAAAGTCCTGATCATGGCTCCTCTCTAAAGAGCCCATGATATTGGTAAAAATAAGAGAGCAAACTGGTGGAGAAGAGAGACGATTCTGGCAGGGGCAAACACAAACAACAATAGCTATCAGTTATTGTGGCTAACAGTGTGTAATAGTCGGGGTGAGACAGGAGAACAAGGAATGTGAAACAGGAAACAATGTATGTACAGTTATAATGTATACACATTATAATGTATTTTAAATGTGCATACATTTATAATGTACTTAAATCTGAAAGATTCTAACTTGTATTAATTAAATTTTTAAGAGAGAGAGAGAGAGAGAGAGAGACGGAAGTGTAGGTGAGAGGGGATGAAGGGCTTGGAATTGTCACAGGAAATTTAAAATAGTTTTAAGTTGATATAAAGGTTTTAAGCTGACACATCCTTGTAGGAATTTTTATGAAAGCACAGAAACCTGCCCATGATTCCAAATGACATTTTCATTTCCCAGCACTCAATAAGCATTTGGCACTAATTACTTCCAATGTTTCAAGAAATAATCATGGAGACAAAAATAATTGCATTCGCCGGGCAGAGTTTCTAAAGCATCTCAATTTAAGCAGCTGCTTCTGGCCTGAGGAGATACAGTTTATCTAACAGAGCCCACTTCAAGTTACTCCCAAGTGAAGGAAAGAAGGAAGGGAGGGAGGGAGGAAGAAAAGAAGGACGGACTGACATACATACCTGTGCATGCCTGCTCTCAGCGAGGCAGAGTAACGCCAGTCAGGGTTGGGCTGTCGGGGCTGCAAAAATCACAAAAGGAGTTTATTGTTAGCATGGCAGATCAATGTGCTTCCAGGGTAGTATCAATCATTTAGTTGTCCCTTAAATATTTTCATGCATCCAATCGAAAATACCAAATGGGACATTTCATATGGAATGACAAAATGAAACTATAACACACAATACTTTTAGGAGAAAATTAAATTACATGACCCAGACTGAATATCAAGGAAGTCCATATTTAGGGGTGATGTGAGGGTCAGGTTTAGCTTTGCCCTGCCCAGTGTAAGTCTATGTTCTTAAAATACTAGAGCTGTCTGTCTTATGACAGAAAAAAACTTTCGTTGTTTTACCCTCCAATGCCTCATCCAAGACACACCTTCAATTTTGTAGTCTAGCTATAAAGAATACACGGTTACACAAATTCTGCCGACCTGGCTGGACTGCAGAGGACCGCAGTCTACTGCTGGCTTTGCAGACTGCAGCATGTTTGTCCCAGGAAGGATGTGCCCAGTCATAACACTAGACACTGATAACAGCCTCTTCTACTGATGGAGGAGGGATTGTAGAGAGAAGAAAACAAACCATTGCAGTTTGACCTTGTTTTCCCACTTAAACCGTCTCATAAATCTCTACTGGCTCCCTGCTCCTCGTTCACGCTTTTCCTCCTCATTCAATTCTCTTCACTCAGCCTCGATTGCTTTAGCAAGAAGTAGCTGAAGTCCATGAAGACCCTGACGCTGCTGCACCATCTGTGTTCAGAAAGAAATTTTTGTGTGCCCTCTGCCCACAAACTGTCATTCCAAAGTAGAGCTGGTAAAGAGGAAAATATGGGCACCCGAAGACCCGGTGGGGTGCTATGTACTATGTATTTGAAGATACTCATAATCGCTAAAGAAAAAAATCAGGCAAGGTGCTGTGGAGCCCGAAAATGAAAGGCGGTTGTAATTTGTGCTTTCCTCCGGGTCACGTGATCATAGTTAGCAACATAAAGCTGCAGTAATGCCAATAAACTATATCAAAGAATCAGCTATTCTTACCCCATAGTTCATACAGTCCATGCAAGCAATGTGAAGTATTCTCATAAACACACTTCATAAGAGAAGTGATGGGGCCAGAATCCCAACCTTCTAACAGATTTAGGGATGGCTAAGTGGTACCCAGAGACCTAAATCAAAGCCTAGAAAAGTGATGACTCTGATTACCATCAAAGTCTCTCACCCCATACAAGCTGTCACCCCATTCCCTTGTATTCTGTTGGCAAGAAACATATATGTAACTGGTTTCATCCTTGGTTTGCAAATCTATAACATGCTATTATTGTTCCAGATAAAGTAGCACAAATTACCCACAGACGAAACAAAACAAGTTTCCATTTTTTACAAGTACTGTTAGAGGCACAAAAGAGAATGTTTGCACACGATTTTATGGACCTGAAAACATGACTAAAATACATCTGATGAAGTTTTCAGCATCACCATCTTCTCCTGCCGTTGGACCACAGAGAAAATCTTTTCAGAAAGATTCTGACATCTGCTGAGTAACTTGCTTGTTTTTCTGTGATTGGCTGACACAGTAATTTGATGAAAATTACTGCAACTTGATCTTCGGGATGAAATCACTAACCTCAATTTGCTGAAAGGCACAATTCTATCAGAACTGAGCAGGAGACTCACTTTATTACACAATTTCACTTCCTCAACAACTCAATTAATTTGTCATGTTGCTGTTTTCAATAACAGTCGGTCAGCAACAACATACTTCTCAGGTTTGTTTGCCAGAATGAAAAGTTGCAGGATTTCTTATGGCAATAAGATCAGACAGGGACAAAGAAAGGAAGAAAGCAATTAGTTAGTTTAATTCGCAATCTGATGCTACACAATGAAATAAGCACTTTTATCCTAATACTTTCCTAACCAGACGTTACATTCTGTGAAACTGATTGTATCTGTTTTACTCATAAAACAGACAGATATTCTTACAATATTCATGAATGCAGGGCTATATCCTTAAAATGTAGCAGACATCTGACACTGGATAGGTTTTTATTATTTTATTTTATTTTATTGTGTGGTTTTTCCAAGACAGGTTTCTCTAGGTAACAGCCTTGGCTGTCCCAGAACTCACCAAGTAGACCAGGCTGGCCCTGAACTCACAGAGATTTGCCTGCCTCTGTCTCCCAAGTGCTGGGATCAAAGGCTTGTGCCACCACACCCAGACTTTTAGAGTATTTTTGAATAAACAAACTGTCACACAAATTGTGACAATTGTATTTAAATTATAAAAAATAGTAATCTTTAAAGACACTAAATTTGCCTGGTTGGTGAATATACAGTTACAGCTACTTTCCTAATAGTGATTCATCTTAAAAAGAATACAAAATTGAAATCAAAAAATGTATGTGGGTTTCACAGAAAGTTTGATTAAATTTGGAAAAAGTTCAGGTTGAAAGGCTGACTACTGATGGATCTGCTACAAGACAGTAAGGTTCTGGACTAACTATGATGGTTTACCTCTAAAATATTTTAATATCATATCTCTTGATTTTGTTCGCGTGTTTGTTCAAGAGAAGGTATGTGCTCAGGTTGGCTCAAACTCACTTTGCCAGGGCTGGCCTTGAACTCTTGACTCTCCCAGCACCACCTGTCAACTGCTAGGATCACAGATTAATGACACACCCTGTGTGTGCTGAATTTCCATTGGTGAAGAACTCCAGTTTAGTCTTCTAAAACATAATAGTCGCAGAACTCCAGATGCAGAAAAAGTCAATTAGGTAATCCATGTAAGTGATGTAATATTACTAAAGAACAAGTACCAACTTTGAGTTCCTGCTAAAATTATAGCAAAAGTTTAATTTATCCTGTTACGAATTATTTGTGATTTATGCCATAGAATACTTAAGCAACAGAAGGATGAATCACTCCTAAGATGGTTTAAAGTAAAACAGGTTTAAAATATCCTGTTATTTATAAACTCTCATGAACACTCAGTAAAATGAACACTTCTTCCAGGCTGTAGTGGTGCACGCCTTTAATTCCAGCACTCAGGAGGCAGAAACAGGTGGATCTCTGTGAGTTTGAGGTCAGCCTGATCGACAGAGTGAATTCCAGGACAGACAGAGCTAATCAGATAAATCCTGTCTCTAAAAACCAACCAACTAAACAAAGCAACAAAAAAATCCTGCTGTCTTCTTACCATGCAAACTGCTGTTGGATTTGTCAATAAACTGCTTTTTGAAACCCGAAGCTAGATGTAATATCTCCTTTTTCATTCAGAATGTCTCCACAGCCAATTTTTCACAGTGCTATCTAATAAACACTGATCTAAATTGCTACAGGAACAGTGCTGAGAGAACCCTGAGACCCCCACACCGAAGGCACATGCCCTGCGTAATCCCAAGACTCAGGCGGTGGTGGACTTACCCCCATAATTGTGTTTAGACAGCTTAGCTGTCTTTTTTTTAAAAGTGGGCTCATTTGGATAGGACCACCCTAACCACAAGAGGCTTTTACATTCAAGTCTAGAAGTCACAGACAGAAGTCAAAGATGTGAAACATGAGACAGAAAATTCCGTGTGACAGAAATTCTCTAAGGCACATGACAAGTCACATGACAAGTCACATGACAAGACCTACAAGAAACCTCTCTGAGCTGAGAGTAATGTTCTTCCTTGGCCCCAGCAAAAAGAGATAAGCCAGCTAGGATTCTGTCCCCCAAGGAACTGAACTCTGCTAACAACCTCAATGAATTTACATGTAGGTTCTTCTTCAGAGCCTCCAAAAGAGTACCTATACAATGTGTTGAGTTTTTTTAGCTTTATGAAAACTGAAGTGAAAAAGTTAACCACATAGTGCAGGACTATGAGACACTAATTGGATGAGGTTTTAACCACTAATTCATGGTAATTTGTTACAAAGCAATGGGAAAGGAATGCATTAAAATAAAACCAAAATCTAACACTGAGAATAATCATGACTATATGATATATTGGTCTTTCGGTAAATCAAAATTGGAAGGGGATAAACTTGAGTATTCTGTGTAAAAAATTGCCTTCCAAGTACAACATGTAAACTCCAAGCTACAGGGCGGGAAAGGAAACTAAGATGACTTTAAAATATGATACACAGATTTAGTAGAAATGGGTTAATCAAGATTTGAGAATTAACCAATAAGAGGTAAAAGCCAATGGGCCAGGCAGTGATTTAATTAAAAAAATAAAATAAAATATGCGTGATAAAATCTAGTACAACAGAAAGTGCAAGGTCAGTTATTCCGGAAGCACAGCCTGCTAGAACAGCAGCTACTCTCTTACACACAGTTACAACTCCCTGGAACCAGCGAGTCCAGAAAGAAACGGACATTTCTCTCCACCTTTGCAATGTCAGATATTTCTTTGCATGTGCCAAGTTCAAATTCTTGAAAAAAAAAGAGCTTGCATAATTTTTAGGTTGGAAGATTTAAAACACTGCTAAAATATTCTCTCGACCTCTGAATTTTTAATTCATGGCTATAGATTATACTGGTCAAAGTATTACATTAATCAGGTAAATTATGTTCATATTATAATATACATGAAAACTCTGATCCAAGTGAGGGTCTGTAAAAGTCACATTTAAAAACACCTGTAAAAACAAACGAACAAACCAAAAAAAAAAAAAAAAAA